ATTTGAAGCTGCTCAGTACTAACCTGAAGTTTGTTATTTTGGGTAGAAAAGAGAAGATGATTATTTCTCTTTAACAGGTTTATAATTTAATTCACAAAGAAAAGCAGTATCCTTATTTATGCCTTTAAAATCAAAGAACATTGCCGTGGAGTGGTCAGAGGAAAGCAGTTCTTGCTGCTGGGGTTGCATAAGGAAATGCTCACTTAATTCTCAAACATACACAAGTGTGACGTGGCAGAGTGCAGGTCTTGCATCATCAGTTTGACAGTTGCCCTCGTTAGTAACACACACCACCACCTCCTTAATCAGTGAGAACTGCTTAACGTGCCAACTTCATACCAGCCCCACACTGGTGAAATGGCTGGCAAAGTGACTCCCTTCCACTCCAAACAGCATCAGCTTAACCTGGACAGCTGAAGATTCTTTTGTATTTTAAAAAAATCATAGGTTACCCTGGCTTACACAACCTTCTTGGCAACTAACTAATGACTTCCTGAACTTTCTGCCCAGATGATAAAACACAACCCGAGTTGTGTCCTTCCATGGGGCTGCATCCTCCCTTTCCCAGCTGACTTCCCCAGGCGCATCTCCCTCTGCTCTGTCCCAGGCTGAAGCTTTAGGTTTGACACTTGTGATTAAGAGATTATGCGCAAACCACATCTCGAAAATGCCCGATAACAGCACACGCTGGCACAGGCCCTAAGGTCCAACCTAGAGACAAGAGGTGAGTTTAAACTAACTTTGCATCAGTTGAGCAGTAAGAAAGCAGCTGGCTCGTCTTCCTGCCTTGGACTATGAAGCCTGGTTAGATAACAGAGTCGGCGTGCCTGCAGGGAAACTCAAAGTCTGCAGCAGTAGTAAGTGTGTCTGGTCAATCTTTTCCCAGAAGTTGTGCTGCTCATCACTGGCACTGCAGAGAGGTTCAAAGCTTAAAATAGATCAAAGGTCCGCACATGGGGTGTCCAGGGAGCTAAGCCCTGTCCTTGGCATATGCTGTTTCACCTCATCGCCCCAGCCCAGCAGTGCTGGAAGGGAGTTTTGACCTAGAGGTCACAAAGTGATTCCCGTAATGCTGTTGAAATTTTTTGGTCCTGCTGTAACATATTTATCACCTGGCAAGTACCCAGACAGCAAACAGACCCTTAGTGTAGTAATGCTGATAGCAGCCAAAAAACCACAGCATGCAACATACTGTAAAAAAGAAAAAAAAAAAAAACAAACAAAAAACCCCAAGCTTACTGCATCCCTGAAAACCTGAATTCAACTGCAGCCTGTTCTTTCAGCCCCCATCCTCAACTGCCCTTTGCCCTTGAAAGGGGAATTAGTCTCCCCTTCTTTTTTTTTTTTTTTTTCCTTCGATTTTGCAATGAAGCAAACGGGCTCTTCACCAAACTGCTTAGAAAAAGAATTTCAGCAGAAGTTCACCTCATCCCTGCAGCTGCTTCCATACAACGAAAGAGTCCAACGAGAGAGGGACACTCCAAAGCAAGAGGCTATGGATTTACATCTCCAGAGGAGATTGTTCAGTCATTTTCTCTATGCAAGGGCCTCCCTGCACAAACCGTGATCCTGTCATGGGCATCCCTGAGCAGTGGACGCCTTGTGAGTGCAGGAGAGCAACAGAGAAAAAAAAGACGACTCCAGTTTTAACAGTTCTGTGCAATTTGAGAGCTTGTAAAGTGACTGAGAAAACTGGGGACAGGGATGAGGATGTGGCTTCTGCTGGACTGTCTCAACAGGACCAGTCTGTCCAAAGCCTTCCTTACATGCTAACCAACCAAGGACTTGGACATCCCTGCTCACGTCAAAGCACCTGTCAGCACAACCAAATCACTACTTCAGGCTACTACCTGCTAAAAGAAGGGACTTAAAACACCGGACAGACTGCAAACACAGCCAAGTGCAGGCTGTCCCCGTGTCCCAGGAATAAGGCTGGGCAGGGTGCGCCCCCTTCCCTGCAAACAGCCCTCCAAGTAACAAGGGGTTAAGTCTCTGTCCCTGGGCAAGTGTGTGGTCAGGTAACCTGCTTGCCTGACCTTGTGCAAGGAGAGCAGCTCCTAGCCTGCAGAACCACCTTCGTCACGGGTGTAGTCCCACCTGGTGTTCAAGGAAGGAAGTAATTGATGCGCTGGGATACAGATTTACAGCCCTGCGCAGAGAAAAGCTTCTCCTCTTTGGGGACAAACACCATCATCTTGGCCACCTCGTCAAGGGCTGCCTCAGTGTATGGAAGTCCACGGGCCAGGAAAGCATCCCGCGCGCAGAGCTTCACGTGGTGGTACTCCAGGGGCAGGAATGGCACGAAGAAATCAATGAGGTTCTCTTCGAGGAGGTGGCTGCGGACATAACCGCTCTCTGTAGTGAAAAGCAAGACAAAACAAATTTCAGAAGCTTCATCTGAGACCTGGCATCCCTCTGTGAGGCAAGGCTTGTCTTGCTGAGGGGGCTGCCTTGGCTCATCCAGACGGACACGGTGGGAGAGATACCCTTCCACTTGTACAGAGCTGGCCAGCACTTAGTCTGAACACAGAACGTCACCATGGCTTGCCCACCTCAGGCCAAGAGGAGCCCGAATCCTCAGAGCAGACTTCATACTTCCCTATGGCGTTAGGCTGCCTCTCACAACCTGGCCATTTTCAGGGCTGAAGGGGCAAGGAGGAGTCGCAGCTCCTTCCTCGCATGCCTCCCTGCTGCGGTGGTGCCACGCTCACGGGGCTGTGCTTACGTGGATGAAGGAAGGGGCTCACAACGCAAACAACCCCGGGGCGGGTGTTGGAATAAAGGCTTGCTCCACAGCACGCAGACTTGTGCAGTACAAGGTGCGTGGTACTGCGTAAGCAAGGCCCCGAGCTGGCGTGGAGGGGCAGGTTTGCGAGCAGCCTGCCCGCAACGTCCCGCAAGCAAGCCCAGCTCTTACCTGCAGCCTCCAGCAACTCCAGCCGCAGCCGCTGCTCCAGGAACTCCATGGAGATCTCCTCCCGTGCCCGGCCGGCTCGCCAGAAGTCCAGGGCTACCTCATTGATGGTGTTGCCACCGAGATTGCTGCAGACAGAAGGGAAGTCACTCAGCTGTGCCCCCAGAGATGAACTGTGGAGAGCTGCCAGCAGCCTCCTCTACAGACAGGCCTCAGCAATTGCTCGCAACGAAGGATTTACTGCATAGGATCAGCAACTGAAACGTTCGCAGAGGAACCGGCCTTTCTTCCCCAAGAGCCCCTTTCTGTAGGCATCTATACAGCTATCTTCCATCTTGCCAGCCCGGACCCTGGGGCAGCTGCTTTCTCTCCCAGGGTGGGACCGGGAGCCAGCAGAATCCTCCATCTCTGTCAGTCCCCTGCCCTGGCTTGGATGCCATCGACCTCGCAGGTGACACTTGGCCCCACACCAGACTCTTACGAGCCAACCCTGAAAATCCAAGTTGGAGGGCAAAGCACAATGGCAGGAGTCCCACTAGAAGTAAAGGTCCAGGGCAGGGATTCAAGTGGCAGCCCAGGACGTGGCAAAGCATCCCCTGCCCGAGGGACAAAGCAGCGCAGTTCCCATGCGAGGGCTCCTCTAGACACCCACCGTGGGGGCAGCTCTGTGGTGGGGGACGCGAGGTCCTGACAGCCATCGAGGCTCCCTGGGCAGCCCCTCACCTTGGAAAGCTCCCCTCTGCTTGGTGGCACGAAGGGGCTGATGTCACCCTCCCACACCTCCGTGGCTTGCCAGGCAGGACACAGGGTCAGCTCGGTGCAGCCGGCAGCACGTCCACCCTGCCCTGAGAAACAAGGGACAAATCTGCCCCCTCCACCATGGCTCCTGCTGGAGGCCCACGCAGGGAGGGCTGAAATGTGGCCAGCTCCACAAGCAGCAGGCACAGATGCAGGCAGAGAAACATCCCTGGGGAACCACCAAACTTGGAGGTCAGAACACTCACCTGGATGGTGGGAGATGGAGAACAAATGCTCTGCCTACCTCCAGCCTGTGGGAACACCTCTTGCCAGAGCCAAGCTGAAGGCTCTAAATCCTAAATTGAAGGGGGTCCAGGATGCTTGTCTCTCCTTGGCATTTCTCACTGGCTACTTCAGGCATGCACCTACTGCACATCTCTGTTTTGAGATGTCCCACTTCTCCCCCAAGACGTGTCAAGGTCAGCACTGGGGTGCGCACATGCCAAAACCCCTTCTCCCTCTGGATGAGACAGGAACCAACCTCCACTCACTAAACCACAGGGTGAGATGATGCCAGGATCAGCCCTCACAGCAGGGCAGACGGGTGGCACCTCAGCCTGCAGCCACGGCCAGGCAGCGGGAACTCCCCACCTCCCGCTCCCCACTAACAGTGCCACATTGCACAAGAACTTCCCGCCAAGACCTGCAGCCCCAGCCTTGCTCCCTGGAATATGGGATCTCCCTGCTCAGCTGTCCAGGGTGCAGGGTGACACCACACTAGCTCTGACTCTTACTGGTTCCTCATCTCAAAGCCTAGACACTGGCTCAGGTGTCCCAGCTAAGCTGGGCCTCAACTCCTCCTGAAAAATGCCCCGTACCCAGGGAGGATGCCCAGCATCAATAAGCAAAACTGACCATGGAGGCAACTGCCTCTTGGAGGAGCTGGACATCTCTTTCTCCTCTGCAGCCTGAGTCCCTCATATCGCACACCTCAGGGGATACATTCCATCACTTTGTTCCTCCCCATCCCTTTGGGGGCCCTGAAATCACCTGAGGAAGAGGAAGATGGATCTCCGGTAATCCACCTGGCCCTCGTTGTCAGAGCGAGCCATGAAAGGCTTGATAGCATCCAGGAGGCTGAAATGAAGTTTCTCTGCCTCATCGAAGATGAACAGGGACTGCTGGCAGAGCCGCACAGTCTCACTTATCTGCTTCTTCAGCTGAGCCTGCAGAGCAGCAGAGAAGAGTGTGAGGGGCCCATCAGCACTCACCACCACCAGGATATCGTGCAGAGGGTAAGCCTGGATGCGGTGGGTTAACTCTGGCTGGCAGCTAAGCACTGCACAGCCGCTTGCTCATTCTCTCCCACCCAGCGGGACAGGGCAAGTAAACGCGTGGGTCCAGACAAAGATAGTTTAATAAGCGAAGGAAAGAGGAAGAAGAAAGAAAGAAATCAAAGCAAGTGATACAAAGGCCATCACTCACGCCTACCACTGATGCCCAGCCAGTCTCTGAGCAATAGCTTCCTATCCCAAAATCCGCTCCCCTCAGTTTTTATTGCTAAGCACAACATTAAATGGCATGGAACATCCCTTTGGTCAGTTGGGGTCAGCTTTCTGGTGTGTGTGTCCCCGCAACTTCTTGTGCGGCGCCCACCTACTGACTGCGGGGGCAGAGTGAGGGGAAGAGAAAGCCCTGAGGCTGTGCAAGCACTGCTCAGCAGTAACCAAAACACTGGTGTGTTATCAACACCGTTCTACCCACAAATCCAAAACGCAGTACCCTACAGGCTGCTATGAAGAAAATGAACTCCATCCCAGCCAGACCCAGCGCACTGGACCATCCCCACAGCAACACAATGTTGTTGGCTCTCACCTCATACAAGTCCACGTACTTGTGATGGGGGAAGTGGAAGAGTGAGATGAACACCCTGACACACTCGCTCTTCAGCCCGTCCCGGTACAGGTGACTGGCCAGCATCCGGGCCACAAAGTTCTTGCCTGTGCCGGACCAGCCGTGGAAGGAGAGGACCAGAGCCTTCTGCGGCCGTGGACTCTGCAGGAAACCTTGCAGTGCCCGGATGACAACTTCTTTGGCCAAGTGCTGCCCATGGAGCTGCCTGTTGAGGTCTGCTTCTAGGCCTGCAGGGAAGGGAGAACAAGAGCTCAGCTTTAACTTGCGAGGCCAGCTACTGCCTGCTACTGCTGCAGGTAGGAATAAGAGGAGATAATGTGGCAGCACACCAAGGTCACACAGCCCTGCTGGTGGGGCTGCCTGTCTGAGAGTAGTCTGAAGTGGCATTAAAGCCACAGAATTAATGAGGCAGGCTGCCTGTACCTTGCCAGCATCAGCCATTGACTGCAAAAAGACACAGATCTTCCACTGACTCCTTTTTTGCTTTGGGAAGCGGAGGAAATATTTGAAAACTGCAGAGAGCACTGAAGCCCACAAGCCCTTCACAAGCTCCAGCAGAGGGTATGGATACCAGAAGTCTCAGGGCCAGCAAAGCGCAATGACACCTGCGCAGGGCCTACATGCAGCTCTCGGTGTACCCTGCTGACCCGAGGCTGGATACCGGGCCAGTCTGGATCCCACTGCACATCCCTGGGAGCTACCGGATGAAGGCAGGGCTTGCGGCAAACCAGAGCAGATACGCTGTACAGTAAGGGACAAACTCTTTTGTGGCCTCAGAGCTACAAATGAATAACAGGAAACAGGACTTAGCTCAGCCCTTCCCACCAGCTCAGCACCCTGCATAGAAATGCCCTTTACTTGCGTCACTTGCTAAAATAGACTTTTTTAAAATGAAAAAAACTCACAAACAGCAAAAGAGACAACAGGGAGAAGCAGCAGAGACAAGCGCTGCTTGGGGTCTCCCAAGCACAGCACAACACAGCACCTACCTGTGATATTGTTGACTATCCTGCAGTCCCCCGTCTTGCAGCACTTGCCGAAGCTGCAGTACCAGGCAGAGAGGATCTCCAGGTAATCCTGGCCCACCAGAGGCAAGCTCCAGCCTGGAAAAGGGCAGCGTTCTGAGCGGAGACACGCCAGCAAATGTAATTTTTGCATTTCGCACGGACGCTCAGCTGAGCCCGCTTAGGGGCAGCCCTCCCCGCAGGTGCAGGGGCTCCCCG